GGGTCCTCTGCACTTGGTACACATCGACACAAATCATAAACTCATCAGGTACGCCACACATTTGATGTTAACATGCTATGTACAATAAAGGATAATAGAGTACAAATTAAAAGATGTTTTAAAATGCCCTGTCAAAGTTGTTTGCATAATAAATAACAGACACTAAAAGTGATTTTGTGTTGTTTTTCAAAGATATGGTCTTGTTGTTTTTGGAGGGATTGATGGCTTCTCACGGAAGGTAATTTTGTTTTCACAAATAACGATTATTTATAAGTCAGATAATGACAGTTATTGGTCAATAACTAAACCTGATGCATGATTTACAGTTCCTTTCAAAATATCTATATTTTTAGTTTGTATCCATCTTAAACCTTGTAGCAATTTACAACACATTTAGAGATCTGCTTTTATTTATTCTGCTTAATAACTTTCTCTGCTGCAGATCATGTACCTGGGTGCTGCCACTAATAATAAAGCATCGACTTCACTTGACTTCTCTTGGAGGGTGTGCAAAAGTATGGCTTTCCATTAGGGTAATGGCTCCCTGTTGTACTCTTTAGTAATTTGGGCCTTATCTGTCATTAAAAGATGCATAATGGTTTGTATAACACTTACAATGATCAATGTTTTGATCACTGAAATGACCCGAGAATTATTCACTACCGAGTCAGGAAGTAACTACGACTCTCGAAATAAATCTGAGTGAAACCAACCTCAATCCGTCCAAAGCCCTATTGATGATAAAATATATCGTATAGAATACTTGATGACGAAGTCACCTTCTGTCTCTCCAAACAAACCATGTTTAGGATTATTTGCATTATACCATTACATGTTCATTTTTCACCTGTCTTTAAAAAACGATAATAATAAAAATAACGTGCCTATTTTCTTCTACATTAAGAAATCTTAAAAATGGCAATGTCATAACTTTTTGTAATGTTTTATTTCATGTGTGTGATTCATCTTTTTAAGAGTACGAGCCGACCAAGGAGTGGAAAATGTTGGCATAGCGCGTGTTCACTATAAAGGGCTGTGGAAGGGGAAGCTTCATGTCAGGGAAAAGTGTGCACAATCAAAGGTACATTTTTTGAAGTAATGTCAAACAATGACAAACACAAAGCCATAATTTGTGAATATACTGTGCTTTGTCCAATTTGATGATTTTTATTTGAACAGAATCGAACGTCTGTGGCGAGATGTTTGGATGGCTGTTTCAAACGTGCACTACGAGGTTCTTCACAGCCTCGAGGATGAGGGTGTTCTAGATCCGTCTGATAGCATCCACATGTTCTGTGCCCAGCATGTATTTCTTCCGCGTCTTCAGAGGGATCTCAATGTCTTCAGGATGGGTTGGAATAATCACCCTCTAAGGGCAGAGCAACATTTGTCCCCACACCAACTGTGGACAATGGGACTCCTCCATAATCCTATTGATGTTCCAGACCTTGCAGAGGTACTCATTACATGTTTATTTCAAGCAAAATTGTATCAACATAATTTTGGCCAGTGTTCTCAAACTATTTCAACTCAAATATATTAGACCAAAGTATTGTGCTTAAAACAGCTTAACAAAATTAAAGGAACTCCATTAAACTTATATTATGAAAGAAATTGACATTGCCACTGTATGTTCGCTGTTCATTACATTAGTATTGAACCTTTGGGCTAGGAAACAATTATATTTGTCATATTTCAATGGAATTTACAATCACTAGCATCAAATAAATGAAAGATAGATATTTTTCTTTAAAATTGCATAAAACTGGCTTACTAATGTAAAATGCAAAGCATGGGACTGCACTTGAAATGCATTTTGTAAGACCTCAAAATCACCTCTTTTGATAGGTGTACCATTGAAAAGGCAAAAAAGTGTTTTGTTTTTATTCTTTACATTCTCTGGTGCTTAAAGTTATTCTTGGTCCCCTAAAATCCATGACTGATATTTAATTTTTATCAAGGAAATGGAGGATGCAGATCTTGATTTCAACACTGCCAGTGAGCCAGATGAGACCAGTCCTGGAGTGATTCTCCCACCTGTCCCCTCAGTGAGCAGGATATGGCAGGACTTTTGGCCAATATTGATGTTACAAGACCATCTGGGTCCTACGGCCGAGTCATTTATTTAGCTGTATTGAACCATGTACTAAATCATGCATCCTAAATGCAAACATGTTTCAAGGGTTTAACCATTTAGACATCAACACCTTTACACCCTTAACATTTTATTATATTCCATATCACAGTTCTGGGTAGCAACATGTTACAACATTATATCAATTTGTTTGTTTTTCTTTAAGAAATGTTTAACCGAGTGGTGCAGTGATGACGTATTTGTGTAGTTCGACCCGGAAGTAAGCTGCAAGGGTTCCCTCGACAAAAAGCAATGGGATATCCTACAGTATGGAGAAATCCCACTGCTTTTTTGTTGAGGGAACCCTTGCAGCTTACTTCCGGGTCAGCCTACAAAAACACGTCATCACTGCACCACTCTATTGCTGCCATTACATTTTTTTTTAAGATTACTTGACTGGAAGCAGTCAATGCTTTTAACACTTAAACAGTAAGGTTAACTTGGAACAGAGGTCGTTAATGGTTACCTTATTACACATTGCTAAATTCTTGGCCTAATTGAAACGCTTCAGTCAGGATGTTTTTGAATTTGTCATAGGGCCTCATATGTCTCACAGGTAAGGTGATTGTCTTGGCACATGCTGTCACAACAGGGTAACAGACACTGTGATGCCCAAAGTCTGCACTGCAGTCATGATTGAATTGGATTTCACAACTGCAAAGTCCTTCTTCTCTGAGGGAAGAAGTGGGACGTGACCCTGGCCTGTGATCCACTGCAGAAATGTTGCAGGTGTGATGGGATGTAGGCCATCTTTATCTACATGCCCATGATCTTCAGCTATGAGGAAAATAAACAAAAACCGTTATGACAGTTTAAAGTGTAGTTTTCCTTTAGTGCAAGTGTATTGTACTGAGGTACAATACAGAACGTCTGATCCAAAAAAGGTAATCAAGTTTGTGTAATTCAGGATTCCTACAACAACTTAAACATTAAATTCAAGGACATTTTAATGTGTTTCCAAGCCCAATGCCTTCAAATTTAACACCCCAACTTTTGTAATTTAAAACAACATACATTTAAATCTTCATTAGAAGTAAATAGAAAACTTTATACCTTCATATAGGAAGTCCTGAATGAAGTTCATCATCTCCAGCTCAACCTGATGCCTGGTAGTCCCTTTGTCACTCAGTTGAGGAAGAATGGATGTCATGACAAACTCTGCATTGACCTATGATGAGAACAAATCCAGATGTAAATGATGTACTCTTTACTCCTTAACTTTAATATCAAATTGTAAAGAATGGTCTCTTTTGTTCTGCTCACTTTTACATCTTCCCCAGAAACAAACAAGGGCTGGCAGATATCTGGGTACTGACTCATCAGTGAACGGAGCCCATACAGCTGCAAGCCTTCCCTTAGTTGTTCCAACATAGGCTGCAGCCGCAGCACTGCGTGGAGTATGATGGCACTACAAAATTACAAAGTAAATGCAATCCTTAATAAAAAGGTACACATGTAACAATGGTGTCCTTGTTTGGAATGGAGACATTTCCAGTATATCCACAATTCAATATTTCATCAGATAGGCCTATAATTGAATGCTCAGTCGTCGACTCAACCTGAAAACCGAGAAGTACATCTCTTTACCATATTCAATATAAACCTATGACTATAATTGAAAAATAAATGCTTATTTCTTATTAACCCAGCATTTACATAATATAGAACTCATACCTGGTCAATTAACTCTCAGCTGGACATCTGCCACTGAATCACTGTTGAGAACCTTCTGGTTTATACGTCCACTACAGAGGTAACTGTAAGTCCATGGGCTGAAGAAGGCAGGGGCGGGGCCACCTTGTGCCAAACTAACAGCCAAAATCTCTCCCACTGTCCTATTAACACAGATTGAGCATGAATGCATTTTTTTACGTTGTAGAACATTTATCAAAAATGAACAGTTGGTCCTTACTGTACATGCTCAAAAGTAAACAAACCTGTAGAGGTCAGTGTCCAAGTCATTCAGAGAGTACCGTGGGATCCACTGCTGTTGAGGTCCTTCAAAGAAACGACCCTCAATTCCTGCCACCACTTCTACACACAAGTACAAAGACCATTTACTTTAATAATCAGGATACTAAGTATTTTATTAATGTCTAACCCCATTTAAATACAAAAAAGGTTAAGTAGTATACAGTATAACAAAGACTAAAAGAAAAAAAAAGTCATGAGTCTTTGTTAATCAGCCCTTCAATCAGTTTCACAGACATTATCCATAATTCTAGACTATTTTAATTAAGAGTCAAATGTAAGAATGCAAAAATTATTGTTTTTGTTTACCTGTGAGAAATTATTTTCGGAGGGCTCCTATGTCGACTTCTGCCTCCCCAAAGAAGGTCACGTTCAGGGTAGCTGTGGGTGAACTGCCTTTTTGACGCTGCCACTAGAAGGCCTCTTTCGAGAATGTTTGTTCGTGAGATTTGTATATTGAAACGTTTCTCTACGTCTACTCTTCCAGAGATTGTGTCCAATACGTCATCAACACTGCCAAATAAAACTCATAATTAACAGGCGTAAACTACTGATATTGAATAAAGAGCTTTTTTTAGAATGAAGATCCAAGCAGAATGAAGAACCCAGTATTTACCTTTCGAATTGCCTCTCCATTGCCTTTCCATTGTTATGGCCCATGTCAGTTTTCTCATCCAGACGGACATGTTGATCTCTTAAAAAGTACAAAGGAGATGTATATCGTTAATATAAAACATGTAAAATGAACCTTAATGTACTCGCTCTAAAATACCTTTCTCCACACATGCTTGCATGTATTTCTAAAAACTGTGGTGTGAAGCTCTCGAAGCAGATGGGACATGGCACCTTCTGATGGAGGTAAAAGTTTAAATATTAGCAGCTGTGTCAAGTTTATATAGGCAATCTTACAGTGCAATGCAATACAATTAAGTCCTTTACCTCTTCAAGAGATTTCTCTGTATGGTTTTGCACAGGGTGCATGACCGAAACAATTTCCACCTCACTTGTTGTCTAACAAACAAAAAATATTCCCAACACATATGTTATAACTCACAGAATACAAAAATATTTAAAGCAAGTTGTACTATTAAAATGCAACATTACATATATTTCATGCCCACATTTACCTCAATGTCTTCTTCCGATGATGGACACTCCTCCATACACTCCTGGACATGCAGAGCCAACATTTGCAGAGGAAAATGTAACTTGCATGTTTGGCATTGGGCTTTTGGCATATTCTGGAACTCTACAGCATCCGCGGGCAAAGGTGTTAAGTTGAATTCATGCTGCAAAGGGACAATATACAGGGTGTTCTTCCCTGCCCCTGTGACACTGCGGAGGAGTGTGCCGGTGTATCCGTCCGAGTCAGGCGGAATCATTATAAGTTTTCGTTTACCCTGACCTCCTGTAATTTACATTGTTTGAATCATTTCAGTTGCTTTTAGCTCAATATTTAAATGAAAATGTATTACAATGAATGTTATCCTACACATTTTTCGCACCTGTTGATTTGTAGAGGAGCCATCCTCCATCCAGCGCCTGCAACTTTGGATATTCCTTTTTCAGGAGACTGAAGAACTAAGGAAACAATAAAATAGGGTGTTCTTGAAACCAAACCACCTCTACAAATAAGCTCCAAGTTTCAAATATGAACACAGGTTATATAAATATGGTTTTCTTTATACAATACCTCTTCATGGCTCACGTCCAGGGGCATCGATATGTCTTTTGCCCAGTCCCGCCTGGGCAAGCGCAAATTATTCCGATGCTGTTGGGGTACTGTCTGCATTCAAGTTTAACAGGTAAACATAAAATGTAATTTTTTTCACAAAGAATCCAGGGAAAGATCTGCATTATTTAAACAAAAAAGTAATGTTGTTTAGCACATAATCATAAATGGACATATCAACTTGCAGTTTACCTGTAGATAAACACAAATATATATTTATTACAATCTAAAACCTGGCCATCTCCTGCTCTACAGAAGGACCAGGCAGTGTCTGGTCCTCCTTCCTTCCGGCTGTCCCTGGCTTAGGTGCTGTGTGAGCACGGTTATTAAAGTGTGTGCTGCTGCAGCCACAGATGAATTACGGTCGCCACTCTGGCAAAAACAGATTGAGAAACACGTGAGCTGGACTCTATCAACATAAGGGAAATTCACTTGCACTGACTATAGCTAATAGCATAGCCTACACGAATAGCATTGCAAAACTGGCCCCGGTAATGGTACAAATCTCAACCTGTCGTTCAATGGACAGCTTCCCCCCCCCCCCCCCATCTATGTATATACTCGCATTTTAGACTCTGTTACTAACTGTATATCTGTAGACTTGGTATGTCTTAAATGTCCGGTTAAGATGTATTAGAACGAAATCTAAAATGAAAATTGTAAATAAGCAATCTGTATGTAAAAAACCACCTGTATGTAAATTGTAAATAAGCCATCTGTATGTCTTATATGTCTTAAATGATATGATGAATTGGAAATGGGGGACCCTGATGTAAACAAGACGAAAGTCTTTCTCTGGTCTGCATCCCCTTAACAATTGTATGTTTTGAGCTGTACTGTACCCAATATACAAGCTGTTAATAAACTTTTCAATCAATCAATCAAATAGCCTCAATGCCATGATTAGTTTCCCGCGTTGCCACATTCATTCCCCACCTCAAAAGGCCTGCCTTCCTTTTATGTATGTCGCTATAATATTATTATCATGCTCTTGGATAACTTCTAAGTTAATATTTCTTACCTGTGCGCTGGTTCCAGCCATGGAGCCAGCAGGTGGACCCATAGACTGTATATATAAATGGACGTACGGTCCGTGACGTCACCCATAGGATTCTACAGAGTTGCCGTGAAGCCCTTAGTAGGTGGAGTCGGCCAATAACGTCTCAACAGTGACGTCAGAGTTCAACTCCCGCCTTCTCCAAATAAGGGCAAAGAGGCGGAGCCGAGGCGGGACCTGCTGCCACCGAGCTGGAAGTTCCAGAGCTAGCTGAAGCTACCAAGCTAAGCTAACATGCTCCCCATCTGCACGCTGCCGTCGCATTTTACGTTTCTAAGGTAAGCGGACATGAAACTATTCAGCAAAACTATAAATAATAATCTAAGTTATTGAGCTTTTAGCATAATACTTCAGAATCTTAAAACCCCTTAACGTTTGTATGCAATTGTGCTAAATTCAACACTGGAATCAAGCAAATATTAATATGTTTGCATGACATTAGTTATTTATATTTTGATATCACTTAACTATACGTTTAATACATTTAAGTCAAGCTAAGGTACATGTGATGGTAGCTAGTTAGTGCTCTTACCTGTGAGGCGTCCTCCAAACAGCATAATAACCAGACTGTATTATTAAAACTAAGTACCAATTCTAGATCATTGACTTTAGACAAACAATTCAAAAATGTATTTAAAGACCAATCTTTATTTGAATGTGCCTCTTAACCTGAGATATTAGTTATACAGTAATAGTATTGACAATCTAAAAAAACTGAGCAACTCAACAGTCAACTTTATGTTTCTTATTGTCTAAAGCATTTATTATTTTCATTTTCCCCCTCTCATATTCAGTGTGGACGGATTGAGACAGCATGGTGTCCAGAGAGCTGCAGAGACTTCAGGGAGAAACCTCCGTGTGATGGACGTCCTGTCTGTTGGTGTGGAGAGGACTGAGGGTCTTCCCTCTGCGAGGAGGACCAGGGCTGATGAAGGAGCCCATGCTGGGCAAAGCTGATACCAACTGCACAGGCCTAGTCTGTCACTTTATTTGACTAAATGTGTATACATTTAATAGGTTTACACCTTCTGTCCATATGTGCTTTTTATTTAAAACATTTGATTAACTTTTGGTTCACATTTCAATAAATTGTATTTGTATTTGCACTCCTTTTGTCCATTAGTCTTACTGAAAATGTTAATTACACATTCACATCTGACTGAAGATTGGCCCCATTTATTTGTGACATTGCAAACTCTGCGGTACAAGGTACATGTTGTGAAGCTCATAAAGTGAGGCAAATAGAAATAATCAGCTGATGGAGTGTAGATGTGGAAATAGCTGCATTCGATCAGCTGACTGTTTTTACAATAAAAGTAGTTTCTTAGTGAATGTCCTGTACTGGTCTTAAAATCTCATAACATCAGCTTTTAATGTTCCTCTTGGATGTTCTTCTTGACCCTCAGAGAAGGAGAAAATGCCGTGTCTTTCAGGCATGTCCTTTCCTAACAAAAATGACAGGAAACATAAAACATATTATTGCAGAACAAGTGTGTTATTTATGAAAGCGGTGTGTTTGTGTTTTTAGAGGCTGTAGATATAATTATTTTGTAATTGTAATGTTTTTTTTTTATTTCAACAGTGAGCTACAAAGACAATCAGATTATGAATGAACAGTATGAAGTTCATCAACATTGAAATATATGTTATTATCAAAATAATATTTAACTGTTATCAAAACGTAGTGCAGCTGTAGAAGCTTGCTCTGTTGTCTCACTGAAAGAATAACTTTTACCACGTTTTTTACAGACAATATTGAGAGATAAATAGTAGCAGTTCTCACTATGTGTTAAATATCTTTGCCTTCAATACATTAAATTAGAAAGCTGACAAAGTTATATTGCTAAATATCTAAAATGTAACCTTTTGCATTGAAAAAACCCTCAACTTAACTGATGTGTAGGTGATCTAGTATTTAGTATTGTTTAATGGAATGTATATCAGTGTATTCAAGTCAATACTTCATTCATTTAAACCAATATCTTTCTTGATTCTTTGTACAGTATGAAAAAAGAGTCTTTGTACCTGTGCTGAAGTTCACTGCTGTGAGGAGTC